CGCCCGGGTGGGGGTGCGTTTTGGAGCCCGACCCTCCCGGTGCCCTTGGCTCGGGGCGCAGGCGGAAGTCGGCCCAGCATCGCGGGGTGGGGAGGGGGGCAGAAAGTGCGTTTGGCCCCTTTGTGGGGGGGGAGACGAGGGTGTTGCGCGCCCGCTGCCCGCGCTCAGCTTGCCCGGTTTTATTCTTCATTTTTTACGCGGCACGGCCGGGTGGCATTTCGGCGATTTGCCCTCTCCCTGAGTATGTTGCCGCCCTCTCCCCCCTTTTTGGGGGGGGAGGTTTTCTCTCCCTTCGCCTCTGCTCAGGTCCTGATGTGCAGAGAGGCGAATTCTCCTCTCGAAAAAAGGAAATTTCCAGGTTCTGGGTGGATCCGCCCTTTTAGTCTCAGGGCCAGCCTTCTGGCTTGTCTCCTCTCCCTTCCTGAAAAGATGGATGTAGTTGGTGTGTGTTTGTTGTGGTAATCTTATTCCCATTAATACCCATCCCTTCCTGTTTTGAGATTTGGCAGGAAAGCCTGCTTTTCAGGGAACCCGCTCCTGGCCTAGATCCATTCAGACAACCTTCTCTTCCCTAAACGTAACCTCCGTGAGGAACAGCATCCAAGTACTCATAATGGCAACGTGGACACGAGGGTGGGAAGGGACGACCCCCTTTACTCTAATAGAGGGTACTTGCCCTGCCTCCTTCTCAACTTTGGGGGCTGGATCCATTGATTCTGGTTGTCATTTCTTCAGGGTTCTCTCCCTTCCGCTCTGTAAGGACCAGCTTAGGTGTGGGGCAATCCAGCCTTTTGCAAGCTGTCCTGGTGTGCTTCAAAATGGGGAGGGGGGATATTAAGAGTTCTTCCGCCTCCCTTGTTTTGGCTGGAATCTGATCTCCCGCTTTGCTTTGTCTGCAGGGCAAGGCAACTTGTTTGCTTTGACAAGGGGCCTGCAGGGAAATGTCTCCACGCTTCCACCCCCATTATCATTGTTATTATCATCTTCCCCACCAAATAGCAGGAGAGTTCCTTTCCCTGGAGATCCGTCTCTGGCGGCTCTGAAATTTACTGCTGGAATCCCCTCTCTTTCTCTTTGGTTTTGGAACCAAGAAAACCACAGGGCCAACTGCTCTCTCTCGCGATAAGAAATTGAGACTTGGTGACCTATCTTTTTCTCCCTCTTTAGAATATGTGGGGAAGCTTGATGTTCCAACTGTTAAAAACCAATTTTCCCCCAAGTTGTGTTAAGATAAGCTAGGCTCCTGGGGGAAGTCACAGTATGACAGAGGCAGAAAGCATGTTTTGCCTGTAAAATGCCTTGTGGCTGTATACCCCCATCATCCTTAACCTGGTTTTTAAATGAACCTATTTTCTGGGTTTGTAAAACTATACTGAAGAATACAGGTTGGATTTAAAAAACATTTATGGCGTGACAATACTTGGAGTTCAGTGTACAGTTCTGGTCAGCCCACATCTTAAGAACATCATTACAGGATGAGCAAGGGCACTCAAAAGAATTAAGGGGCTGGAGCAGCTCCCTTACAAGGAAAGGCTACAACAGTGGGGGCACGTTAGCTTGGAATGAAGGTTAATAAAGGACGACATGATAGAGGTAGAAGTGTATAAAATCACACATAGCATGAGCATCGGGCAAAAAAAGATGCCTTTTCTTTCTCTCAGCGTTGGAACTTGAGGTCATTGCCAAACTAAACACAAGGAGGTTCAGGACTGAGAAAAGGAGGCATTTTTCACATGATGTGAAATTAAATAATGGAATTATCAGCCAGCCAATTTGGAAGGTTTGAAAAGGAACCAAAGGGGATATGGCTATCTAGATTGAGGGCTGTGGACACCATCCTGCGTTTGTGCCAGAAGGCTTGACATATTGGCTCCTGGGGAACCAAAATGGAGGGGACTGTTGCCTTCCTGTCCAGGCTGGTGAGCTTTCTAAAGGCATTTGGATGTCCACTGGGTGATCTGGAAAGCCAACCTAGATCAGTTGGGCCTGATCCATTAGGGCTCTTCCTGTGTTGGTGTGCTGCCACACCAAAATCTCCCACACAAACCAAGTTTAGTGCTAACTAGGCTTAGCCTGTTGTGTGAGATGCACCCGTCTTTCCCTGACCCAGTGTTGCATGTTGACTGTCAGTAATGCTGAGCTGGGACAATCAGTGGCCTGTCTCTGAGCAAGGGAGGTGCTTATATTTGGACAATAAGCGATCTGCCTTAAAGGTGTTTTACTCACAGTGCTGACCAAGGACATATTGGCAAGATGGTAGTTCTTGGTATGAGTAGGGTGGGCAGTGTATTTACGGAACTGAATGGGACAGATATCAAAGATTGCCTGGGTTTTGTTAACTAGCCTGCACTGGTTGTGTTCTCACAACACCCCACTTATTGGGGCAGTGTCATAGAAACTTACTATTTACGTTCCACTAGTTTGTTCATATCTGAATATTAAAGGACTGTATTGTAAAAGGGTATTGAGATCCAGACTGTAAACCCACGTATCTTTGCAGCCACCTCAGAAAAGACAGAGAACTGTAGAAGACTTCAATCAGTTCTGCACCTTTGTGCTAGCCTATGCAGGCTACATTCCGTATCCGAAGGAGGTAAGAAAAGTTGCAGGTCACGGAGCCAAGTGCTTTGCTCTTTCTCCACTTTCATACCCTGGGTGCTGGGGGTTCCCAACCTCTCCCTTCTGCAGTAAAGCAGATTGCATGGCTTTCTCTCTTTCCACCCCCAGAATGAGCCATGGACGTACCGAGGCAACAGGAGCCCTCAGAACAGCACTGGAAGCACGCAAGACAGTGACGGTTGGGGATCATCCCAGTCCTGTGACTTCCAAGTACTTTCAGATGATGGGGGGAGCAGGAACACAGCGTATAAGGGGACAGGAGAGCTGCTGAACTGCCCTAACGTTACCAGCAGCTTTTGCACCAGTCGGCACCAGCAGACTAAAAAGAGGAAGCAGTCAGCAAAGAAGCTCAGCGTGAACCAGGCAGTGGACAAGGGCTTGATGTCCCTGAAGGACCATACACAGAGAATGCTTGAGACTTGTGAGGAAGCGAAGGAGCTGAAATCCTGTCTCCAAGAGCTCCCATCCAGACCTCTCCTGGAGCAAATGGAGAAAGACTGGATCCCTGGGCTTCACACTGAAGAGAAGCCGGGGGAACAAGGCACGTACAAGGAGGAAAGAACCAGATCTGCCTCTTGGAATATCATGGAGCAAAGCATGGGAGAACTTGAGGGAGGAGGCCCCCAACTTAGCAGTAAGTATGCAAGTAATGGTGCTTTTAGAAGAAATCCAACGAGAGTTAACCTTAACCACTCCGTCAAACCTTAATCCATCTAGTCCACAGGTCTTTAACACAGCAGCTCCCTAGAGTGGTGTTTTTCTACCTCAGCATCTTTAAGATGCGTGGACTTCAACTCCCAGAATTCCCCAGCCAGCACTGCCCTAGAGAATTGTTGGAAATGACTTGCCTTGTGTCCTCTCTGTGCGTGCAAGGAGTGCCAAATGACATTGTATTTCCCTATCATCAGTGGACTTTGTGCATGTAGAGGTTAGGCAACATGGCATTTACAGTCTAACACCAGGATCCAATAAGCTGCAAGAATTTTCAGGAGTCTCTATTGATTTAGAATGGCTGGATTCACACAGCCTCCTTAACCAGTCAATTAAAGGCATAGTGGCTGCTTCACTCAGTTTTCTAGGGCCTACTCTGTTGGGGATGATGGGTGCCGTGCAGACCCAGGCAGTGAGCAATATATCCAATATCCAGATTCCAACACAATGTGGGCACCCTCTTTATCTGACGTTTTTCTCTCCCCCTTGCAGATCTGCCTAAGGAATTTATTGCAGCCTCAGACACCAAAACAGATGGTGAGTTAATCTTGGCTTATGGTAGTATCACCAGCTACCAGTAGGGGAGCAAATGCATTTTGGTTGGGTTCTTTAATAAGCCCATAGAGTAATGTTTCCCAACCTCAGCAACTTTCAGGTGTGTGGACTTCAACTCCAGGATGGGAGTTGAAGTCCACACACCTGAAAGTTGCTGAGGTTGGGAAACATTGCCATAGAGGCATTGCATTTAAAGCTTTTTGCATAAGGTAAATGGGTTGAAAGTGAAGGGAAGTTAAAACGGCTAATTTTAGAGCTATCTCTAAGGAGCCTAAAAGAAAAAAATCTCTTTAATAATCAAGTGTTAGATTGGGGTGTGCTGGCTGAGAAAAACAAGCGAAGGTGCAGCCCTTTGCTTATAACACTTTCTTTTTCTCCTGTGCAGAAGATGATGCTTGGGATTTAATAACTTGTTTCTGCTTAAAGCCCTTTGCTGGGCGGCCGATGATCGAATGCAGCGAGTGCGCTACTTGGATACACCTCTCCTGTGCAAAGATTCGCAAGTCCAATGTGCCTGATATCTTCATCTGCCAACGCTGCCGCGATGCAAAGCAAGAGATCCGCCGGTCAAACAGAGCCCGGACCGTCCCCCGCAAGCGCTTCTGCGACTGAGTGTAGCTTCAATCGGATTTCCGCTGCCAAGACAATCAGAATGCAGGAACTGCCCTCGGGAGAGAAGTGAGGCATCCCTGGACATTTCCAAAACATTGAAATGCGTGTCTTATTCCAAATGTTGAAATGGGGAAGAGGACCGCTGAGGTTCTTTCCTGGAACGGTCTGTCGAGGGTGCTGTTGAGATCTCAGGGTTATGCTAGAGCAGCAAATGCACAGATGCCTGGCAGACACAAGTGACTGTTTGGGGGGAGGTTTGGGGAGGGTGGAATTGCAGCAGGCAATGCACTAAGTCAGCCAGTAGCCTCTCTGCCCTTGCGCAGAGGTGCCTTTTCTCAGCAGCCTAAGGGGAGTAGGCCCAAACAGAGTTTTTCTGTGGTACGCTAGCTGCTCGGACTTAAAATGGGTAAGATGATGCACCCCGGTTTCGTGGTTCTTTGCCCCTTAGAACAGTGGGTTGCAGAGCCCCTCAACCTCTTTCCCAGAAGCCACCTCAAGGGACAGTCCCCTCTTTGTGCACACAGAGCTTAGGGAGGGATCTTTGTGCTGTCCCCAGGACAGCTGGCGTCAAACTTCAGAGCTGTGGGTCCTGCTCCCCAGTCTTTCAGCGTTCGAGTACAATGCCATGCTATAGCCAGGCTAGTCACTAGTGGACCAGGAAAGGGGTGGTAATGTTCCCTTACTGTACATATTTGGTATGCAGAGGCTTAGGAAATATCTAGCTGTACCTTTACTCCACTCACTTACCCAGCCTAGACTTCCAGTTGCACTACTGTCTTATTTGAAGGGAACGTGGGGTTTGCAGGAAGGAAGCAAACTGGGAAAGGCAACGGGCAACCTTTGCGGAGCCCTCTTCGGATCTAAAAGCGGGGAGCCATTCTTGAGCAAGGTAGTTGGATGGCAAGCCACCTGGCAGAAGCAGATTGGGTCCTGCTTGTCTCCAGGCTGCTCTTGGAAGAGCAAGCTGGGGATTGCTGACAGACAGACAAGATCTGTGTACTATGCAAACTACTGGTTGTTCCTGGGAAAACGTGCCAGCAAGCAAATGCTTGTTTCGGAGAGACCATCACTCTACCCAGTCCACAAAGCCTCTTCCAATTTGACCCGTGTGCCTTCTTTATTTCATCTCATCCACACATTGCACCTTCAGCCACACGTAGATCTAAAGCTCTGTTCTGATGGCCCACGGAATATGCAGTTGCTTAATGTGGGCTTTGTCTTCTTCGGGATAGGCTACTTAGTCACCCTACTAAAGAACAAAAATCCAGACCTAACCTATGATTCAGAGCACCTCTGCCCACCCGCCCCTTGAGTGTTTACATTTTTACAGTTAGTCTCTTTAAAAATGTAAGGTAGCACAATACATGCTGTATACTGGGTGTCTGAGTGATACATATAGATTAAAACACTTTTAAGCAGCTGTTATTGCTTCATTTCCGTGCAAATCAAACCACCGTTCTATTAGCAGACCACATTTCCAGACAAGGCACTCTTACCCTGATTTTTGGGCTTGTCCAGTATCCCTGGGTTGGAAACATCTTCTTTCTCATCCACTACTATTATCAGAGTTTGTTCTGGTTTCCTCTTCCTTGCTACCCCACAAGACAAGATTGCACCGGAACCAAGGCTTGCTTAATTGTATGCTCTGCATAGTTGTGTAACTGAAAGTAAATTGTGTAATTGAAAGTAAACTTGGAAATTAGGGTGCTACATCTGCCTCTTAGGGAGCTGATTTTCCTACAAGATCAGCGGTGCAGTCATGGTAGTTTGGTTTTTTTAATCTCATGGCATATTAACATTTCTAATCCCAATAATAATAATAGTTAATCTTTAAAGGTAGGTTTTGGAATCTTTGGCTCAACAGTTCAGCTTTAGGGTTGGAATGGAGATGGCAACATCATTGTTCCTATTCCAAATCAACTCCTTTTGCTTTTTCTTCTGCATGGTTTCCTGGATTTAAGCCTCATTTCTAGCCATCCCATGGACTCCTGAGCAGAAAGGCACAGGATAAATTCTCAATTCCCTGCCTTAACAAAAAGGCATTAGAATACTGCCATAGGGCATTATAACATATTTTTTTGCTCTATTTGTTTGTACTAAAGACCACAGGACAATATCCAGCATGAATTATTTTTATTTTCATAACTAAAGCCAGGGGGCAAACAGAAGCAATTGTGTTTTACTGTGCAACATTCTTCTCTGGTAATAGAGCAAACAAGCCTTCTTTTCAAAACTCGGTTGCAATTCCCGAATATTTGCTTTTTTTAATTACAGAGATTTTTTTTTTAACTTCCTAAGCAAAGATGCTCTTTTGCCTATGCTGCATGTTGATCCTCCTGCCTAAATGATATATAATTTTTCCCCCATTGGATAACATTCCAGATACAAAACGTAGAACATGCTGTTCTACACTATTTACAACTCAAAGAGGAAATGAAAGAGCTTAATTTGGTTTTGATCCATGCTCAAAAGCTACAACTCTTAATTAACCAGGTGACCACCTTATTCCATGCAACTTGTGGCTTTTGCTATCACATAGGATATTTCTTGGACAATGCTGGCCCCAGGAAATACTGTCAAGGCATTAGATGAGAAGAATTTAGCTCTGCCGTGAATCGAAACATTAAAGTACCTGGTTTTTAGCATATTCATGTTCCAGGTCCTCTTACTGCTTCTGGAAGTTAGTACATCTCAAGGAAAAACCATTTCAATTTCACACAGCATCTACATGGAAGTTACATGTAAACAGATCTGGAATTAGGGGAACAGCAAGGCAGGTTTTCTTCCTCCTTATCTACTACAAATGCAATTCCTGCTGCCTGGTCAGAAAAAAGGATAAGCAATGATCTTCATGACCTGCAGCAGGAAAAAAAGTGGGGCTGCTCTAGACATTGGTCTGGTCTGATAGCAAGATGAGGGTGCTTCACGTGCTTCCAGGATGAACGCAGCTAGAGCCCTGTGCTAGCAGACAGGCACACAAAGAGAGGATGGCTATGCTCTAGGCCAGTGTTTCTCAACCTTGGCAACTTTAAAACATGGACTTCAACTCCCAGAATTCCCCAGCCAGAATGGCTAGCTGGGGAACTCTGGGAGTTGAAGTCCACATGTCTTACTACTAGGCTACTCTATTTACAAAGCCGTGTTCAGATGCAAAGGCAACAGCTCCTTCTGTCCTCTTGGAGAAGAAACCGTAAAGAAGGACAGGTAACCTGTTGAAGGCCCATCTCTGAAGAAAGAACGTTAGAAACTCCCCAGCTTCATTCTTCATTGGCCCAGGCTGCAGATCTGCTCTTCTCATCCAGATAAGGGACCACAGCATCTGTGTAGAATTTCTCCAGCTTGCGTTCTGTCTTCTCCCAAAAAACAGGATCAAAATCCACCGGGGCGACTGCTGTTTCTTTGTTGGTGTGAACAACAAAATCGGCTTTCTTTAGGCCAGTGACTTCCATCTGGCACTGAACTTGGGTGTAGTACGGATGGTTTTTCTTCAGTGAGTAGGAACTACCCTCCTTTTCCAGGCAGAAAGTTTTGTCTTTGCACGCTTCGGTCACTGTCTTATTTCTGTGTTTATAGGGACACTTGACCTCCAAGACACCAAGCTCCTTGCCAGTGTCCGCTTCTCGGACAATGCCATCGGGGCTGGCAGCCAGCCACGACTTTTCTTTGTCCACGAAGAGGCCACAATCCTTCACCTTCACCGCCTTGCTTGCTGTGCTAGACTTGAGCATTTCATAGGCTTGCACTGCCTTCTTCTCATTGCGGACACCCCAAGACATGGCAGGGGTCTGTACCGCAGAGCCCGGTTCCACCACAGCCTTCAGGTACGACTGAGGCACTTCCGAGGTCCGGCCGTTTGCAAACTTGCTGTTGGAGATCTTGGGAGCGATGGAGGCCGTGATGCGGTTCTCCCGCCACTTGTGCCATTCGGGGTTTGTCCGCTGACCCCGTGTTTCCCTCTCGACCTCAGCCACCTTTTCAGGGGGAAGGGACGCAGGCAGGCCCCTCGCTTTGCCTGGGGTTTTGCTCGCAGCCCGTGAAGGGCCAGCAGACGTAGAAGACTTCACTCCCACCGATGCGGTGGAACTCTTGGCTGCTGGCCTACCGCCGCTGTTCCTTGCATCTGCTTGTTCGCCATCGTAGGCCACTGCAGACCTCGACTGGCCAGTCTGCCTTGCTCCTCTGGGCTTTGTGGCACAGGCTACCTTCTCTGGGCATGATCCTCTGCCACTTCCACTCTTAGCAGCACAACCCGTTGGGTCTGCACTGGCTGCAGGGATTGCCCTGGAGGAGGCAGATGACTGAGGAGCTCCCGGACCTGCTTTCGGTGCTGTAGCAGCAGGTCGTGGAGATGCAACGTTGTCTGACGTTTTCCTGGGCCTCCCCATTTTTCAAATTCCTGTTCCGCAAATATCGGGAGGGGGAAGAGAGAGAGAAGGAAAGAGTTAGGGCAGAAGGAGAAATACCTAGGAAATCATTTTCTAATACTTCTGCTCTGCAAGTTGTTTGTATCTGGCTGCCTTTTATTCATCTATGGCTGAAAAGACAAAAATCATCCACAGGTAAACAGGTAGCTCTTGGAAAGTACAAGAGATGTAACCCAGACCATGTGCCACGTACAGCTAACTATAGCAACTACTTTAATGCCTAAACAAGAATGCAAATGATCCCATGCATTTTAGCTAGCACAACACCATCTGCAATTCAGTGCTAAAAATATTTGTGCCCCAGTTTGCATTTTTCCTCTTCCCTCCTCTTCCCCCTTTCTTTTGATCTGTACCTTTTATATTATCAATCTGTAAGTAAACATAACGGGACATGTATCTCAACCACTCTAGAAGCCTTTTCAGTCAACAGCAAGGTAAGCCTACAGTATTTTAAATGAGATTGTATATGTGCTGCTGATTGCACACATAACCAAATTGGGAACAGGTGGACACACCCCCTTGCACATGCACAAAGAGTCATTTTCCTCTGGAAGCAATGGAGCCTGCAAAGAGATCCTCCTATTCTATGTGACTGCAAATAAAAGAACAGGCTGAGTTCACAAAAATGAGCACTTTCCTGAACGCTGTTTGTGTCTAGCCTGCTTCCAGAGTATTGCTTGCTTTATGCCTTTATCCTTTCAATTGCTGGACCACAGCTCCCATCTACTTTAGCCAATGAGGCCATTTTAATCACGCTGGCTCTGCAGCGAAGGGTTGTGGGGTCTTATCTGCCATGAAAATACTTGGTTGAGAAAAGCTGCCTTAACAAAGCCATTTCATCTCAGCATTCTCTTTACTCTCTTATGGTTTAAAATCCCAAGGAGGCGTTAAGGGGCTGAGGACTGACTCCCGATAATGAGAACAGACCAGCTTTTGTAAGAGCCTGCAGGGAGCTCTTTATTTTAGATCTCATTATAACATGTATATATTTCCAACTTAGCTATTTCCCAGGGACTAGGGTTGCACATCAAAATGCGGTTTGTTGAGTAAGCCACTGTTAACTAAGTACGCCCATTGTACTACGCCATAAACCATGTTTCCAAACTGCTCTGAGTGGGTTCACGTCACACACGTAGCCAAAAGGAAGCAAGGGACCCTGAAGCTTAGTGTGATCTGGGACGACCGTGAAACAAGTAGCTCATTACAAAGGCAGCACATATGGAGTTCAACCACTCTGAATCTAACCATAGCACAAATTGTGTGTAACAAGATTTAAACAAGCAAAGCAACTGCCTGTGGCTCTGAAGCACTTAGTGGGTATATTCATGCAACACTCTTAACCTAGTTACTGAAATAACTCATCTGCTGGGCTCACTCACAACTTCAAAATATAAACTGACTTTGCACAATATATCAAGCCACAATAACACTAATCAAGATTAAAACTGACCAAGCTAGGTATGTGCAAATGCAGGTAAAATATAACTCATGGTTTATAAGCCACAACAGTTGGATTCCCTCAAACCAAATAAAGCGCATTATCACTTGAGGGCACCAAAAAAAAGGGGGGGGAGGCGGCTTAATCCGGTCCTCACTGTAAATACAAAGGCTTCATTTCCCAGAATTCCCCAGCTGGCATGGCTGCTGCCAAAAATACTAGCAGTTAAAGCTCTACTCCTATATTAGCATAACAAATGACCCCCCTACATGCAGAACAAAATATGAAAATGCCCTTTCATCTTTTCCATCAACAGGGAGAAAGCAATCTCAGAAAAGTTCCCTCAGAAAAGGAGCAAAATCTCCTCGTGTGAGGTGCACAGTATGCGCGGGAGAAAGATGGGCCAAGTCCCCTATGGGAGTCAGTATCTGAGATTTACGGATAAACCTTTTTATCTGTTTAAAGCAGCAATTTTCAAGCTTGACCACTTTAAGATATGTGGGCCTGCTGGCTGGGGAATTCTGGGAGTTGAAGTCCACACATCTTAAAGTGGCCAAAGTTGAAAAACACTGGTTTAAAGTCTCCTTTGGGTCAAGCTTGATTCATGGTGATTTCACAGACCCATCCATGTAATTTTCATGATAACAAAGCATGTCTGGAGGCCCACTGCCATCTGCTAAGATTGTTTTTTACTAGTCTTGTCTAGGCTACAATTCTGTGCAGTCTTCCATCCAAAGACTAGATGATTCTACAATTGGTTCAGATGACCCTTGTAGTCCCTTCCAATTGTACAAATGAGAAATTAACCCCAGCAATAAAATCCCACCCAATTCATTAGTATTCTCATGCAAGCAAAGAAGTGTTAAAAATTATACAAGGTTTTCCCCTTCCCCCTCCAAAGCTATTAATGAAAAAACTAAAAAACAAACAAGCCATGTTTTCATTCAACCTACAAAACACCTGTAAAGTGTTCTAACACTCTGCACTTGATAAACAGAATATATACTTGATAAACAGAATAAACAAAAAACAGTTTTTGGAAGGCAGAAAAAGGTTTAATGTTCTCAGGTTCCCACCTTGGCACGACCTTGGGCATTCCTGAGAGGCAGATAATGGCCCATCTGCACCTAGTTAACCTTCCAACCTTCCCTCCCTTCCTCCCCTTCACTGTAATGGCAGAAACAAGCAAGCCAACTAGCAAGTGATTGATTGCGAGGATTCTGACCCTTTTTTCCCCCATTGCAAAGGCTCTCCCTTTTTGATTCACAAAATACAACCATAGGCTTGCCTACTTAAAAGTAAGTTCCCTACCTTCACCTGGGGCTTCTTCCAAAGTATGATACAAGAATATCCCGGATGATGTTGAGATCTCAATTTACTGTTTGTTCTTTGTCAATGCTAACCAGATCCAGCTTCAGAACAGCTGCTGGGTGAGAAGGAACAAAAATAAAAATGAAAACAGGATACAGATTGGGAGACTGAACACAAGGCTGAGAAGGCATGTCTGGGCAGAACACGCTGCACACTGCTCCTCCTGCAGTGGGCCTTCTATTACTAAGAACAAACTACTGTTTTACAATACATCATGTTTACACACAGTTGGGTTCTGTTCCTGTATTGCTTTATGCCAAAAAGCAAGCACAATGGCTAGCCCTGGAAGTCTCTTCTAGCCAAGTAAGCAAGAATGAGGGGCGAGATTGAATCAAAGGGAAAATTCTGTAACAGGGTAGCTGGAAGGAACATAATTACCTGAAAAATGGAAGAGAAAAGTGTAACGAATTTAACTTTTAGTATATAATCACATAACCATAGAATAGCCATGTTTATCCTATTCATGACCTTTACTAGGAAACTCACGTTGTTGGAATGTTGGAATGTAAGCTACATACCTTGTACGAATGAGTTCTCAACACTGATAAGGCTGGAGCAGTGGTGGGTGTAAGGAATGCAGTGAATATCATAAATTTATAAGATAATGGAACGAGAGGTACCATCATAACGAGTTACCCAACTGTTCCTAATGTGAACTGTTCCTGACATGCACTGTTCTTGAGATGAACTGGATGGAGCTGACCTGGATGAAGTGTTCACCATACAGGACTTAAACAGGACTGGTTGAGAAGGTGATGTGAAGAGGAGATAGCACTTCCCACCATTAAAGCTCAGTTAGCATGTCAGTTTGTTGGATCAGGAATTACCAAAAAAATCTATAAATAGGGGGTAACAGAAATTGGACATAACAACACCTTGGAGATTGAATGAGGCCAGAGATCCTGCAATTAGTAAGAATCAAATTATGTTTTTCCTTGTTTTGAGGGAGGTGGTTTGAGAGTTCATTATCTCTAACTTACTCCTAGCCTTTGGGGAGTACAGACCCTGAAACCCACAATGACGATGCTTGGGAAAATTATATTCTAGATTCCAGAACAGGATAAAATTTAAACTAATGTTTCTCAACCTTGGCAACTCTAAGATGTGTGGGCTTCAACTCCCTGCATGGCGGCTGGGGAATTCTGGGAGTTGAAGTCTGCACATCTTAGAGTTGCCAAGGTTGAGAAACATTGATCTAAACAGATATTTGCATTAACTTACATGAGTTTTTTCAGATAGTTTCAAGGAAGGGAAACACCACACCCTGAAGGATACAGGCAAAGGGATATTCCACAGTGGTTGTTGTATGCTTAATTTACAGGACACAGTAGGGAGCTGATGTTCGGGGAGACCTGACCGCTGATTTCTAGAAGGATAGGCAACCTAACATCCACATTACAAACCTTTGGTTGTACTTGAGATGTTGGCCAAGGAGCCTTGTCGCCACTACCCTGCCTTGCTGGCTGGTACAAGATCACAATTTGTACCCTTTGCCCAACGTATGAGATGTCTACATAATACTCAAACCTGAATGACCCCAAAATCTGAATTCACATGACACCGTGAAGTCACAGGCAAACCACATCTCAGCCTAGATCTTTGGATGGAACCGTCCTTCATCAAAACTAAAACAATCACAAAACAGCTCAGCGTGTTCCACCAACCAGGCCAACACCTTCCTGGCAGTAAACCAAAATAACCAAACCACAGTTTCTTTTTCTATGTTTAGCAATCTGTTAGAGCACTCTCTAACATTCATGGAAACCGGTGATGGCGAACTCACAGGGCAGGGCATTTGGGATCTCGGGTGCACAGCTGACTACCGCAGCTGCTACCAGCCCTATTACTCCAAAGAAATTCACTCTACTCCTGGTTCAACAGGGAAGAGGCATCCCTTTCCTTCCGGAATCTCCTTGCCAGAACGTCTCCATCTCTTTTCCGGAAAGAGCACCACTGGTTTAAGAATTCTAAATCCTGATTGTGTATAAGCAGGTCTGTAAGAACCGCGGTAA